CCCCAAAACCCCAAAACCCCAAAACCCCAAAACCCCAAAACCCCAAAACCCCATCTAAAATTAGTTCTATTGAAGTCTGAAATTATTAAAAATTATTAATGGCTAAAGGTACTCCTTAAAAGCGCCAAGATGACTCTTCTTTGCTGATTTCGCATACTTTATTACCTTTAGGTTCCTACTCTCCTTCTCGCCCTTAAACTTAAAGGCTGATCTGAACAAGTCATTCTCTTTGATATACTTAAATAGGGAGATTTTGTTGTCTCCTATTTTAAGATTGCCCAAGTCTCCTGGTCTAAAAGGCAGATTAAGAAGATTATTTTCAGATTACGGCAGAATAGTCCACACCTGAAGAGCTAAGAATGTGTTGAGGTTGAGATACTACAAACATACCGACCTCTACTCAAAAAGCTCGAAAGGGAAGCCACTAAAAGCCTGACTTACTTAAGAGGAGTATTCTGGTACAAATTCTTCACTTTCTTTGTCTTATACGAAGCCTTTGTAGTCTTCCTGTAGAAGTTGATGATTCCATGCTCCTTATTTCTCTTCTTAGAAAGATACTTTTTGGGTGATTTTGTAATCGTATGGACCTCTAGAGTGTGAGGTGTAAGAGCCCTACCTTCATCAGCATATTCAATAAAACTATCACTAAAGAGTTAAGGGAGGGATTACTTTGACTTCATCATTTTGCCTTTGCGGATCTTTGATATTTTCTTTGCCTTCTTTAAAGAAGAATGGACCATGTGCTGGCAAAGTGAGCTCTTGGTAATGGAGTCATTCATCGTCAAATGCTCGTTCATTGCTCTCTCTGTATATTAGAATCTAAGTCTCACCTCTTCGGATAAGTGATTGGTTCTTTGGATTCTTATTTCTCGGAGATTTCAAGATCTTTTTAGACTCGATATCCGGCAAGATGCTTTTGTCACCTTTAGTCTAAATTTCAAGGGTCAGAAATAACAAAACAGATGGGTGACTTACTGCTCTCTCAAAGCTCCTGTAAAGGTTTACTTCAAGCTATAATACAGGATAAATTCTGGAATGATTAAGAAATTTTGAGGTTTCAAAAATGAAACGCATCTGGGACTAATAAGCCGTCATGTCTCACCAGACGTGGCAATTTCCTTGGAAAGCTTTAAAAAATGCTGGTAAGTTCTTACCTTATTCACTCTTTCATTAATTTTGAAGGCTATAGGGTATCATTAGTAACCGAATATTCCTGAGGGGTTACTTACATGTAACTCTTGGGATCCTTGTTTGACTCTTTATCGTAGTGGATACCTCAGTACTCCTCTTTCTGAGACCCTCTACTGAGTGGAGTGAGGCAGGACTAGAAGGAAATTAACCAAAAATTTTGATAAGGTTTTATGAATCAAAGCTGTAAATAAGAAACTGATGTGAAAAATCAAAACCGTACTTTAAATTGAGAATCTGAGTTGGGTTGTCCATCAGCTTAACTCTAGAGGCCTTCTCTCGAGTCACTGGATGTCTTGGCTTCGACTTCTTGATCCTGACTGATTTATTTAGTTATGCCGGAGCCTCTGATGGACTTCCTGAGGCCGGTTTTCGCCCTCTTTGCTTTGGTCTTCTTCAAGGAAATCCTGAAGTTTCTTTGTCGAGTCTTATTATGATCATTTGATGACACTTTGGTCATATCTGACTCTGTTAACGTAGAAGTAGAGTATTTTTGAGATCTATACTAGGATTAGTAGATAAATTACAGCTCTTCAGTTGGCGTCTCAGTTCCATTCACAGCTGCTTGTAGCTTTTTGACATAGTCTGGGTCTGGTGAGGGTAACTTTGACAGAACAGACACCGAGAAAAGCACGCTATAAAGAATTATGCAACTAAATTTAACTCGGAGTTATATTTTTTAGCATTAATATGTAGGCTTGTTATAGTCCAAATGCCAAAAGTCATGATTAGAAGTAGACTTACTTTTGAGTGGTTTTAAAGAGTTCCTCAAGCTCATAATCTCTTATCATTTCTTCATAGAAGCTCTTAGGAATCTTATCGTTTTTGTTCCTGGTGATCCAAGGGTGTTTTAAGGCTCTAATCGCACGATATCTTTTACCCTGGTGAAAGTTTCAGGCTCGCTTAAAGAAATCTCACGCAATGCTAATAGGTTAGGATAAATATTACGTCTTTTCGAAGTCAGATGGGATCGTAAAGATATCTTGACCATTGTTGTAATTGAATAGAGCAATATACTCAGTATCCTTCATTCGTGAACTCTGTTCAATAGGTCTTTGTCTGTTGAGCATCTCGAACATTATGAAACCGGTGGCCCATATGTCAACAGCCTAAATTATATATCAGAAGTTAATTTACTTTTGAATAAAACTTCCCGAGAAGCTGCTCTGGAGCTTTATAGAGAAGGGTCCCTCATAATTCTGAGACAAGTCCGTCCATTCCTGGATCGAGTTTCTTAGCAAGGCCAAAGTCGCATATCTTTGCAATAGGACTTTGTGCATTTCCAGATAAAAGCACATTATCAGGCTTTAAATCTCTATGAAAAGTGTTCCTTTCGTGCAGATATTCAAGTCCATGGAGGATTCCTTTAGTTATCTTGCTTGCGATGAGGTCATCGACCTTAGCTTTGTCAGGAAGGCTATGTGAAGTTCAGCATTAACCAAGATTTTCGAGCTGGTTTTCAAGTTCTACCAGCAAAACTGAAAACTTTGCAAAAATTTGAAATTTACCTGTGCATATATTGCTTGACAGATCCTAGCTCTCACAGCTCTATTGCCATTACGAGGTAATTTACGTATTCATCAAGCTATAAGTCTGGTGAAAACCTCTCAACTATGCTACTTGGAAGGACTAAGGCAAGATTGATGAACTTACGTAGTAAAACTGTACAATATTTGGATGGTCTCATTCCTCCAAAATTTTAGCCTCATGTCTGAGTAAAACTATTTTGTTAAAGTCGCTTCAATCTTTGTCTACGATCTAAATATCAGTTTTAATTAACGTAAATTTTGGAATAAGAATGAGCTTACTTTCAGAGCCATCCGGAGGCCTGAGGAGATGCGGACAACTTCGTAAACATCACCGAAACTGCCACTTCCAAGGTACCTCACGAATTGGTAGATAGATGTGAATGGCAGAGAGGTTCCATCAGATTGTTCAAAGCAAATGTCTTCAATACCCATATTATTAGTGTTTCTCGTTAATTTCAATTAATCTAAAATTAGTTGGGGTTTTGGGGTTTTGGGGTTTTGGGGTTTTGGGG